GCAGCTCGGCTGCCGTAGAGATAGTTACAGACGGCGTAAATTTCCGCAACCAGCTGTCTACAAAGCAGCTGGTTGCGATCTTTCAATCCTTATAACCGTTTACACTGAAGAAAAGTAATGATGGTGTCCGAGCAGAAGCTTGATCCGTTTGAGCATGGTAATATGCGTGAACGACTGAAAGGGTATGGCTTAAAACTAGCCTGTTGGAATATCCAGCAAAACTGGGACCTTCGATTTGGATCGTCATTATAGGTGGATTAGATATTAGCCTTGGTGAGGGCGTCGAGAACGAGAGCTTTCTCAAACAAAATACGACGGGGCAAGTTAGCTGCGTAGGTAAATGTTAAACATGATGATGTTGCCCAATCCTCGGGTAAAGTCACCATCTTTAGCTTTCTCTGATGCTTATTGGGCAGTCAGAGGTTTCTGCTGGGGGAGTTTTATCGACAAATGTTAATTTTTTCACTCGCACACGGATGGGGATCGACATCTCGGGGGCCACTGTTGCGTTTGTTTTGAGCATTTCTTTACACACTGGTATATTTCAGCGTTGTACGGCAACAGAGCGATTTAAAACCTGCAAATAAATCAGGGGTTGCCAATTGCTTCCTCCGTGAAATAGCAGACGCTCACAATTCAAGCTCGCGTTTGATTTTGTTTCCCGCAGGACGCGATTTCTATCAGAAAATCGACTTTTTTTTTTCCGTTCGGTTCCGCGACACATCGTAGCAGACGAACCCTCGTCGTCTGCTCCCGCTCCTCGCCGGCCCCACCGGAGCGAGGCATGACGGGATTGCATTTTGGCGCACTCCCGATTTTCTCGGTGCAGCGAGTGCATGCACGCGTGGGGTGTCAGCGCTGAAACGAACTCGGAAAGTGCAACCACTCGTGGAGTGCCGGCCGAAACGGACCCGTTCCACGCTGCGAGTGGGCACGCGTGGGCACGAGTGCCGTGAAACGAACTCGCTATTAGGAACTAATATGTTGTTGTAGCCGCAATATCGGGCGCGTTAGTCAGCAACGAATAATGCAGGAGGCTTTCGCTTTGCCTTACCTCATTTAAACCGCAAAGCATGGGCAATGACATCGCCGCATTTTTAGATAGTGTTTCGATTCTGGGCATTCCTAAACCTAAATGAACGCGATAATTGTCGGCATGGCAACGTCTTTCGAAAGCGGATTGTTGATAGCACAGAAAAGCAGACAGCGTCCCGACAGACTTTTTCCTAAATTATCCAAGCATCGCGAGGAGAACGCTGGAAGTGTAATGCTACGGTTCACGCGCACGGGCCTTCCTCTTCAAAAAGATTCGAAGTAAAAAAACATAATAAGGCTTTAACGAACGCGCGTGCAAGGCAAAATTTGTTTTATACTTTTTGCTTTAGAACGGTTACTACTGCAGACGCCAGCACGTGCGACGCGTGCAACTACACTCGTAGCATGCACCTCGGTGCTTGGATAATTTAGAAAAAAGGTCTGTTGGGACGCTGTCTACTTTTGTGTGCTATCAACAATCCGCTTTCCAAAGACGTTGCTATGCCGACAATTACCGCGTTCATTTAGGCTTAGGAGTGCCCAGAATGGAAACACTATCTAGAAAATGCGGCGATGTCATTCCCCATGCTTTACGGTTTAGGTGAGGTAAGGCAAAGCAAAAGCCTCCTGCACCATTCGCTGCTGACTAACGCGCCCGATATTGCAACCACAATGACATATTAGTTCCAAAGCGAGCGGCGCTTACTCACTGGGGCACCGCCATGTTTCCCCGCATCCCTACCGAGTGAGTCACGTGATCTCAAAATCCCTCTCCTAGGTACTGCGGCTAACTTTAAGGGGTATTCACACGAGGGAGAAATCCCGGGGATTTCTCCCCGGCACGCGCATCCCACGACGAAAACGTCAGGCTTTGCCATGTGCAAAAGTCTCGCGTTTTCATCTCGTGATGCGCGCGTGCCGGGGAGAAATCCCCGGGATTTCTCCCTCGTGTGAATACCCCTTTAGCCGCGGTTAGTGCTTCGAGCAAACGGGCCCAGGTGTGCTCTTGGCACAAAACGGTACATCGGCAGACCGTTTGGTAGACCAAGCAGTTCGATCATTGTTCGCGCGTTGGCTCACGGGACTCTTCTTTTTTTCGTTTTTGTCATCGCTAGTGCGCGCACCTGGAAACAAAATGCAGTGTAGGTCCTGTGTCTGTCTTTGTGTCCCATCTTTTTTGCGCTGTTTTTCACTATGTTGTCAATCAACGAGCCCAGCAAGCTACCCTGTTAGAGAGCAACATGCTGCCTGAGATGCAGCACAAACCCGGGAACGAGGGTAGCTACGCAGGCACGGCCGTACTGGAGACGCGCTCGCCGTCTTACGGCCTTTCAGACTGATGCCTCACTGGATAGGCCGTCTTACGGCCTATCCAGTGAGGCGTGATGACACCTATGTTTCCGAAGTGGTACTCACACATAGTTCGCACATAATAAAAGAGGGGCTTTAGGAGGAGTAGGCTCTAAGCGCCACTAATAATGATGATGATGATGATAATGATGCTTATGGCTATCCTCTTTGAAACGTGTGGTCACTATGTCGTGTCCAAGCCGTGCAGCTTTCACTTTCCACTGGACGGCCAGGGGCTGCGCCACAGCCCGGCTGCAATCAAAGGTGCAGGAGCACGCTCATGAGCGCTGACCATAGTTACAGTTGCGCACACAAGGACAAGGACAGAGAAGAGGAACACGTACGACACAAGGACAAGGGCTTCTCTGTCCTTGTCCTCGTGTGCGCAACTGTAACTATGTTCAATATCTGCCAACTCGCCCAACTGTCTACTCTACTACAGTAATGAGCGCTGATCAAAGCTGTCTACGCGTGTTCTTTTCCCCTCTTTGAAAATGCCGCAGAATGATGTCCACGAGTATAAACTCTGGTCAAAGCAAACTGGAGAAGCCGACGAAGAAGAGAACACGTAAATTGTTTAGAAACTATCGCAAAGCTTGTTGCGCGTTAGGTGCTGCTGGATTCTCGGTGACTGGCGGTGAGCGTTCATTCTGAGTATGAATTCTGAGAATTACTAGAAAAATGAAAGCCGTTTACAATCCCCTGTAACCCCGAATTAGAGCGCAGCTCTTTAGATTAGGAGGAGGGAAGGGTACTGAGGGGAGAAGGTGGAAAGTCCCCCACTACTAGCATGAATGTGGATCGACGTGTGCTTAACGCAAGTCGCAAAAAATCTACATCTTTGGTGAGAGCGACGCGTGTAAATTTGGCAGGAATTTAGCGGGGCGATCTTTTCCCGAACTTTAGCGGGGAATGTTTTTTACTAGATTTAGCGGAGAAATCTTTTCGCTAAATTAGGAGGCGAAATTATTTCCGCTAAATTTGGCGGAAATTATTGTCTCACTTCACAGGAGAAACAGGCACCGTTCCTCCAGGGGCCCGTGCCGTACCGCCATGCCAAGCGTCTTTTACCCATAGAGATCACACATACTAACTCTAGAGGAAAAGGTCCGCCATTTTCCCATGCATTCTGGCTGCCGCAAGCGGCGGAGCATGCAGGCAGACCCTCGGGGTCCCACACATGGTTACCAACTGCCTTCGATTTCACGAATATAATTATATCATCAGAGCAGTGTCATGAACTTCAACAATCCACGAACTTACCGGTTGAAAGATATTCGCGTTCCTTTCGAAGCTCTCTTTTTGCATAGCGCGCAGATGTACGGCCTCGCGTCAACGCTAAACTAAACCAGAAACCCGGCTTCGCCGGTGGGGCGCGGGCAGGGGGGTAAAGGTGGGTGAGGAGGAGTGGCAAATCCCGTACGCCGACATCCTGGGTCCCGAGTGAAAGATCGCAAAAGAGAGCGACAGAACACGAGAGAAAGAAACCAATGTTGCCATCTGAAGAACGACAGTCGTTGCCATCTGAAGAACGACAGTCGCAATGGTGAACGCGCAGACTGAAAACTCTCATCAATATAAACAGTAATAATCTTAACGTTGTAAACTAAATTCTGAGCTATTCTAACGCTTATAGAAACTAAAATACTCATTATGCTGCATTAACTTCTTCTCTGTCGAAATCTCGGAAATGTGGTGGTTACGAGGTTTCGTTTACCCGGGAGGTGCCTAGGCGCGCCTGTCAAAACCATAGCGTGAATGGTTTAGTTTCGCGTTGACGCGATGCCGAACACCTGCGCACTATGCAAAAAGAAAGCTCCTAAAGGAACGCGACTATCTTTCCACGGGTAAGTGCGTGGATTGTTGAAGTTCATGAAAGTGCTCTAATGATAATTATGCTCGTGACATCGAAGGCAGAACTTTTGCTGAAATAAGAGAACGAAAGTAATGTGCGTCGCAAACACGCAGGTTCAAACCACTGTATATGACTACCAATCACTACAACCGTCAGATAATCGTGCGTTATGCATTATACCACATGCACTTCTCTTAATGTATGGCGCGTTTATTATGTAGCAATAAAATTTGACACATTTTAAATAAATTGTTTTATCCTAGGTTCCCTCAAAACGATCCAACTCTTCAGAAAAGGTGGCTTGAGCTCTTCGGAGATCAGCCCTTTTCCCCGAAAAAACATCACAGAATCTGCTCGAAGCACTTTGAAGCATCATGCTTCTTCAGGTCGCATTCCATTCCCACCCTAAAGCCAGGAGCTGTACCCACCATACTTGCTTGTGAGCATGTAAGTAATCAGGTAAACCTCAAGCCCAAAAAAGTAATTTCAAAAGGGAGCACGTGGAATCACAGCCAGTATTTCGGTGGGTTATGTAAACCGTCAAAAATACCACTAGACACTGCCTCTCCTTCAACTGGAACTCGGACCACACTTTGGTCAACTCCTGTGGGGGTAAGAATGAGACGAGTGAGACTATGGTCATTGTCACACAAATCTATCACACAGCCGTACCGGCCACATCGGTCGCAGAGCTCGCCCGGGTTCTCCGGTGTCGAGAATGTGCCCAGAGCAACAGGGGTAAGATTGAGCAGGTTTAAGGCTTTCTTGTGGTAACACACTCTCAAACAGGATGTCTCACAGCAACCGCTAGACACTGCCTTTCCTTCAACTGGAACTCGGACCACACCTTGGTCAACTCCTGTGGGGGTAAGAATGAGACGAGTGAGACTATGGTCATTGTAACACAAATCTATCACACAGCCGTACCGGCCACATCGGTCGCAGAGCTCGCCTGGGTTCTCCGGTGTCGAGGCTATGCCCAGAGCAACAGGGGTAAGATTGAGCAGGTTTAAGGCTTTCTTGTGGTAACACACACTCTCAAACTGCATGTCTCACAGCAACCACTAGACACTGCCTCTCCTTCAACTGGAACTCGGACCACACCTTGGTCAACTCCTGTGGGGGTAAGAATGAGACGAGTGAGACTATGGTCATTGTAAGACAAATCTATCACACAGCCGTACCGGCCACATCGGTCGCAGAGCTCGCCTGGGTTCTCCGGTGTGGAGGCTATGCCCAGAGCAACAGGGGTAAGATTGAGCAGGTTTAAGGCTTTCTTGTGGTAACACACGCTCTCAAACTGCATGTCTCACAGCAACCGCTAGACACTGCATCCCCTTCAACTGGAACTCGGACCACACCTTGGTCAACTCCTGTGGGGGTAAGAATGAGACGAGTGAGACTATGGTCATTGTAACACAAATCTATCACACAGCCGTACCGGCCACATCGGTCGCAGAGCTCGCCTGGGTTCTCCGGTGTCGAGGCTATGCCCAGAGCAACAGGGGTAAGATTGAGCAGGTTTAAGGCTTTCTTGTGGTAACACACACTCTCAAACTGCATGTCTCACAGCAACCACTAGACACTGCCTCTCCTTCAACTGGAACTCGGACCACACCTTGGTCAACTTCTGTGGGGGTAAGAATGAGACAAGAGAGACTACGGCCATTGTAACACAAATCTATCACACAGCCGTACCGGCCACATCGGTCACAGAGCTCGCCTGGGTTCTCCGGAGTCCAAGCTGTGCCCCGAGCAACAGGGGTAAGATTGAGCAGGTTCAAAGCTTTCTTGTCGTAACAAACACCGTTCTCAAACCACATGTCTAACAGCAACCACTAGACACTGCCTCTCCTTCAACTGGAATCCGGACCCCCCCTTGGTCAACTCCTGTGGGGGTAAGAATGAGACAAGTGTGACATACTATAGTAATTGTAACACGGATCTATCAAAACAGCCGCGCCAGCCACATCTGTCGCGGAGTTCGTCTGGTTTATCTGGTGCCCTTTCTCCATCAACTATCTTGGGGGTAAGAACGGGGCTTGTTTCGATTGTCATAGTCTTGAACACTGTAACCTGACAAGAACATATGCTTCGATCGTCTTTCCAGAGCGACACTTCAGAAGCAGAAACACCGTCCAAAAGGCGCCGACTTGTATGTATTTTATCTCTACACCGGCGAAACATTCCTTTAAGCGATCCTCATTCATTCACTTTTAGGCAACAGCAACTTCAGAGAGACGGCCAGGTGGACAACAGATACTAACTGCTGCAGAGCATGGTTACTCGTGCCGCATCACACCAAGGACGGGACTTAGAATTGCAAAGAAGCGACTTGGAACTGCGAAGCGCAAACTGTATGCCACCACAAAAAGACTGAAGAGAGCAACCAAGAAACTTGTTGACTTAAAGACAGTCATCACTGAGTTGAAGAAGAGGAATCTTCTGTCGGAAGATCTGGAACAGAAACTTGAGTCATTCGGTGAGCTACCCAACGAGCTGCTACAGTCCTGGAAAGCAAATAAAAAGAGAACCCCTTCTGGAAGAAGGTATAGTGAAAAGATGAGAAAGTTTGCCTCAACACTGCACTATCACTCTCCAAAGGCGTATGCTTACTTGGCAACCATCTTTCCAATGCCAAGCATTCAGACACTTCGCACATGGCTCAAGGTTGTTGATGGTTGGCCGGGATTTACCCACGAAGCCATTGAACACCTCAAGAAAACCCATGAAAACACAAGTGAACGAGAGAGGTTGTGCAGCATCATGCTCGATGGAATGAGCATCAGAAAAAAAATTGACCTCGACAGCAAAAGCGGCCGTCTTATTGGGTATGTTGACTTCGGAGGTGGCCAGAGCCCAGACGATACTGATGACGCCCCCTCCGCAACCGATGCTCTGGTGCTCATGGCAGTGGGAGTTGCAGCTCCATGGAAGATCCCTATTGGCTATTTTTTAGACAATGGACTTTCTGGTGAAGTGCTTAAGGGCATAATTACTGAAGCGATTCTACTGCTCACAGAGTGCAATCTTGAAGTTGTAGCTGTTGTATGCGATGCACTGTCATCAAATGTAATGATGGGCAAGCTGTTTGGCTGCCTCATCCATGAGACCGACGTGGACAGCTTCAGAACATCATTTCCTCATCCGAAGGACCCAGCCAAGAAAATCTTTTTCATCTTTGATGCGTGCCATGGCTTGAAGCTCCTCAGAAACCTCTTTGGGGATAAGAAATACCTGACCACGAGGTATGGGGTAAGTAGGTAATGATAAAATAATATGTATCATGGCTCATTGTTTCTTTTTATCACTGCAGCTCATCCAGTGGCGCTTCATTGAAGACCTTCAGAGGTTTCAGGAAATGGAGGGTCTCCGGGCAGGAAATAAACTCCGCAGAGCACATGTTGAATACTACCGTCAAATTATGAAGGTGCGCTTGGCGGCGCAGACTCTCAGCTCTTCTGTGAGCAAGGCCTTGGAACTTGGTAGAAAGCTGCAACTCCAAGAATTCCGAGGCAGTGAAGCGACGTCGAAGTTCATAGCAGATGTGGACCAGTAAGTTTATAGAAAAGTATAGCTATACCCCACGTCAGAAGTTGTGTGCAGCGCAGTCAAAGCTAACGGTTCCCCTTTCCAAATGCGGCTGTAGCTAAGGAGGGAAAGGGTGATTTCGTTAAAAATTACCTTTTCCCTTCTTGTTAACTAGAGGCACATTTAGAAGAAGGGAAAGGAGAACCCTTAGTTTTTATTAGTGATGGGCCGAATTTTCGCCGAACTGAAAGTTCAGCGACGAATCTTGGGATTTCGCAAAGCCGAACATTTGCCAAACTTTTTTAAACATTCGGCAAAGATTCGGCAAAAATACATTATTACCAGACTTTTTGTTGATATTTACTTTGGTCTTGCAAAAAAAAGTTTTTTTTTTCTTAACTTAAATGCAACATGCAATGCATATTGACACAGTTATTACTAAATAAGAGGGTATTCTGCAAGATAATTGTACTGTTGCCGTTTTTGTGTGCTTAGTGGCAATTTTAGTGACTCCTTACAGAAGCGGCATGACAACAAGGTTGGGTAGAAGCGAGCGTGGCACAGTCGCGAATCGCTATGAGAGTTTCGGTTTTAAGGCATCATTAGCGCAAGCCTGCATGTGTGTGCACATTGTTAAAATGAAGGCAATAATGCTGTGTTCTTGCTTTCTCTGGGAGTCACTGTTTTGTGTGCGAAGACGAATGCAACGGTTGTTGAGCCTTCACCAGAAGAGATAATAATATTGTAGTAAATATGCATATTTTTTTTATTTCAGTCACATGACGTCAACTTTGCATGAAAGTGTGTGTGTCCCATATTTGCAACGTCTCGTTTTTAACCTTCAAAATGCCAGTTTTGGGTGTTAGGAGACACACAAACGTTTAGGAAGATAGGGAGAGTTAGGAATGTCAGATGTGCAACGTCGAGCATGATAGTTCTGTGTTTAGTTTTATGCAGATACATGAAAATTGCAAAATAACGCTAATTGAAATAGCAATATTATTTTTTTTGGGCCACACTACTGAGCTGAAAACACAACTGTTATAATTGAGAGGAGCACTTTAAAGTAAATGTCAGACAATGTTTTAACTACCTCGTTGCATCACTGGAAAGGTCCAGGAAAGATCAAATGAAAATCACGTTATCCAGAATGTACCGCATCATTTGTCACTTGCGTAGTGGACTGCGCATTGAACTGCGTAAGTTACAGGTCAATCTTTCATTCTTGAGGCAGAAAATATTGAAAAGCACCAGGCTCGCTCACTAACGCAAAGTTACCGTGTTGCCCACTCCACAACTTGCCATAACCGCTGGTTGTACTACACAGCACTACGGTAACCGCACGACTGCATGGCGTCCATTTGCAATCCATGACCCCGTCGCGTTCTCGAGCCTGCGCAGACGTTTGCCAAATTTTTGCTGAATCTTTGCTGAACTTCCCTTTAAAAGTTCGGCATTTGCCGAACTTTGCTGAATCTGAAGTTTGGCAGATTCGGTCCATCACTAGTTTTTATTTCACTGCACATGATTTTTAACGCGGGTATCACACGTGACAAATGATACAAGGAAAGAACAGGACGAGGAATGAGACTGCAAAAAAATCTCACCTGGTTCAAAATTACAAATGTACAATTCACTTCTGCCTTATATACTGCAGGTATCATGACTGATGCTATTCTGTTTTCTTCTTTTTAGAGCATTTGACCTGCTAAATTCCCACAACCCAAGGGCAATGGGCTTCAAGGCTCCACTTAGACAAACCTTGTTTGAGAGCCAAAAGAAGAAGATGGTCACCTTGTCTGAGACGTTGATGTCCCTACAGCTTCCATCAGGGAAACCAGTTGCTGAAGATGGGAGGCGCATGTCTGTTATAAGCATGGCATTCACCCTGAAGAGCGTCGCTGAGCTTGCAGATGCTCTGTTTCAGAGGGACATGTGCAGGTAAAAGCTGAAACTTGTTTGATTAATTTGTTGTGGTAGTTTAAATATCATAGCATTTTTCGTGTGATTTACCAAATGCAGATACATCTGCACATACCGTCTCAGTCAGGATCATCTTGAGATGTTCTTCAGCTGCATCAGACAGCGCGGCGGCTGGAACAACAACCCTTCTGCTGCGCAGTTCCGCCATGCTTATCGCTGTCTGCTGGTGCATGCAGATGTGAAGGCACCAACAACTGCAAATGTTGCTCCTGACATGGATGGAATCACTGCATTGAGGCACCAAGGCAACCTGTCGAAGGAAAATGATGAGGCAGAAGAGATGGACCCGCTGCAACTGGACACATTTTTTAGCTTTGCTGACCACCTTGGTGCAACCCACGGTTTAACCGAATTCAGTGCCGAGATTGTCCAGTATGTAGGCGGATTTATTGTGCGGGTTTTGTCCAAGAAGGTGACACGCTCAGAATGCCTTGACATCCTTGTTGATGATCATGTGACAAGCCTTCTCGTTTTCATAAGAAACAATGGAGGCTTCATCATGCCATCTTTGTTTGTGCGTCATGCCCTGAACTGTGCAGAGTCAACATTCAGGCATGAAACTAAGGAACCACAAAAGGCTACAGTACAGCGCCTTGTTCTCAACGCTTTCCAGAGCTTCGTTGTGAAGCATCAGGGGAGCTTGTCACAGACAGGACACTATAAGGACAGTCCCCAACATGTGATCACGCTGACCAGGCTGATCCTAAAGGAGTACATGACCCTTAGACTTCGAGAGCTATGCAAAAGGCTCACCGAAAAGAA